GTGTATGTCCGCCCAAGTTATTGCAGGGTATTCGATCAAGCTTTGCTTCAGCCGACGTGATGCCGTCGAACTCATTTCGTTCAACCCTTGGGTGAAAGCTTGTACGGCCCAGTCGTCTGTGACTGGTGGCAAATCCATGCGTTCCATTTGAAACCGGGATACGAATTCCCTAAGTATTTCGTCACCCCTTTATGTTACTTTGAATAGATCCGATTTCCTTGTTGCGACCTTCACGGCACCAGCATGTGCTTTTACAAACGAATCTGCTAACATGGCAAAAGAATCGATAGAGTTCGGCGGCAAGTTGTGATACCAGATCATTGCTCCTTTAGCGAGGGTCTCTCCGAACTTTTTCAATAATGCGGACTCGATCTCATCATCTTCCAAATCGTTGCCTTTGATGGCACATGTATAGGAGGTGAGATGTTCGTTAGGATCAGTCGTGCCGTTATATTTGGGAATTACGGGCATACGGAACTTTTTGGGGATCGGTTTCGGGGCCGCGCTCGATGGAAAAGGCTTTTGTATGAATTTCTTTGAATCCAGCCCTTTTATCATAGGCGGAGCCCCCGGGATCTGATCGATCCTAGCATCATATGTCTCGAATTTTTTGTCGTTGGCTTCGACTCGCTTTGTTAGTTCCTCGAGCAGTTGAGCAATTTCAGGAGTGGTTCCTGATTTTCGCTCGTTCGGTTTCACTGTGTCGGGTTCTGTTCTTAGGGTTACTTCTCGAAGAAGCGGATTGGAGTTTGGATTACTCCGCATGTGAGTTTGGCTCTGCAACTGAGCTATCGCTACTTGTTGGGCTTGTAGCATTTCGAAAATCATGCGCAAGCTGACCCCAATTTCCCCCATGTTGTGGGTGTCTCGGGCTATGGGTCGAGCGCCACCCTGAACGCTTCTTTCCTGCTCGAAACGTTGATTTGCTTCTAGAGCTATTCGTGAATTGATATCTACTGGTACTTCGGCTCGAATTTCAGGTTCCTTGATTCGAGCCTCGTTGACGTTGTTGGGTAGCCTTTCGGCCACGGGCATCATGTTGTTGGTTTCATCCTGAAGGCCGGCTTCAAGGTCGATTGGGAGAGCCATTGCCGACATGAAGTTGTAAGCTGGAGTGTGCTGTATATTTGTATCAAATAATCACTTGTTATCCTTAGCCCCACGGTGGATGCCAAACTGTTTACCCGAAAAATCGGATAAAGTAGAATTTATATATGGTTCTAAGGGCAAGTAGATTCTTCTGATATAAGAATAACAATGCACGTATTTATGTTGCGAAAATAGGAGATGATGAACAAAGATATTAGGTGAACTTAGAGAGATAAACACAAAGAATTCTTAATCTCCTGTTCAAAGTGTCCTCTATTACAAACTCCTGCCTGCTTTATAGCCAAGGATTGTTACTTTATCTATAGCAACATAATAGAATAAATATTTACTAGTGGAGGACCCATGATGGTATGTCTCCTCCTTTATTCCCGCAGAGATTCCCTCCTTTGGTGCGGTTGTAACAGCTTTTGTCTGTGAGCTCGATACCGCTTCAAGCTCGATACCGAATCGGAACCTCGGTCTTGATTTCGAGCTAGGTGGTCACTTTCGGGCATCGATGCTCGGGACCTGTATCGACCGATGTTACCTCGCTCGAATCGAACGCCCGGGCTCGACGCCCCAATCTCGGAATACGCTCGGGGTTTCCATGAAAGCACCCCTCGATTGAAATGCCATTTTCGATCGACCTTCACGACCGAGGATCGGTTTTAACCGTATACAGGAGTAAAAACAAATATCTAGCAATCACAAACATAGTAATCTCAAAAGTTTATTAATTCTATTTTTTTTAATTTGAGTATCAAGCTTAACTAAGAAAACATTTTTATTTTAAGAATATAAAAGAAAGAGAAGTGTTGGTAAGATTCAGTAACACTAATGGTTATACTAACATAAAAATCCAGAAGTGATATGTCATAGCGATTTTCTTATTACTCGTAAAATAGAATTCTTATTGGATAAAAATTATAATTATATTTAAATATTTAAAACTTGAGATGAGCTAATATTAAGATTTGAATCAACAAAAATAAATTATTCTCTTTAACGTGAAGAACAAAAAATTAAGCTCTTAAATTAATTAACCAAAGGAAATCTTTAAATTAACTAATTTGCAAAATATTCAAGTCATTATTTTCGACATTCATCATATAATCAGTTATAATATAGTATTAAGAACAAAATTGTAAAACTACAAATGTTAAATTATAAGGATGAAATATGAGAAGACAAAAAATATTTTACTTGAGTTGGCATTAATTATTTTTATTTCTTTTGATATTCATTTAAACAAATGACAACTCCTTATACTTTTCTATATACTTAGTTATTTATTTTATCATATTAACTTAATGTAGACATTTTAATACTTAGTATTTGATAAACTAATTTACATATTCCTTTTGTACATATTTTACTACACTAAAGCTAGTATTACATAATAGTGGAACGTTTCCTTTTGACGTGTTTTTCATCTTCAAAAGTTCTTTTTCTATTTTGTGAATGAGTCAAGAACGTCAAAATATGACAGCTTATCATAGTAGGTGAGAGTTAAAATTCTGAACCACAAATTATCTTGATAACATATAGTATCGGTGTATAACAGTTTGCACTCCTTAACTTACCTTATTGCTCCACAGACTTTAGTCAAAGTATTTCAACTTCCATAATAAACAATAGATTTAACTTATGTATATAGACTGACAGTTATTTAATGAATTTATAAATTAGTAGTGTATATAAAATTTTACCCTGTCAATTTAACACTATGTAAAACAAATAAGGTCGATCGATCGAGACATGAACGTAAGCATAAACTTAAAGAATCTGAATAGACAGAAAGTTGGAGGTACTACACTACTACTTAAGTTAAAATTAGCACCCACCCCCATCAACCACCATATTTGCTATGGGATCTTGGGGAGAATGAGAATATACAAAACTCTGAAAAGATGACAGAAATTAACAGTTGTCACCAGCCATTTAAACTATATATATTTGTAAAAAGATGAGCGTTGATCTTGCTTCCTCTACAGAATCAATCATTGGTTCCTAGCTTCACTTGTTTTATTTTTTTCTTTGAGAGAGAGAGAGAGTTTATCATCTCCATGTAAGTTGAGGCCCCCACCCCCCTAAAAACTATATAAGGTGGTCATTGACAAAAATGTTTCATTCAAACAGTGCTTCTCTCTTCTGAGTTCTGCTCTCTCATCGATTTTTTTCCACTATCCACATTTATATTTTCTTCATCTCTCTCTCTCTCTAGAAGAAAAGGCTCTTTAGTTAATTGATTAAGACTAAAGAAAAGAAAACGAAAAGATCTAATTAAGGCTATGGCCATAGAGATTGAGAAACCTAGAGTTGGGCTATCAAAAATGGCCACGTCAGATACCCATGGAGAAGATTCACCCTACTTTGCTGGGTGGAAAGCATATGATGAAGATCCATTTGATGAAGTTCACAACCCATCTGGTGTTATTCAAATGGGATTGGCCGAAAATCAAGTAGATACTATATTTCAGTATTTAGGATATATATTCACATGCAGGATCATTATTTCATGTTGCTTAATTAATTTTCTTGTGTACGTAGGTGTCATTTGATTTGGTGGAAAAGTACTTGGAAAAGCACACATGCTCTGGGGGTGGAGTTTCTAGCTTCAGGGAAAATGCTTTATTCCAAGATTATCATGGACTGCTTTCATTTAGAAAGGCAATGGCTAGCTTCATGGAAAAAATAAGAGGTGGAAGGGCAAGATTTGATCCTGATAGAGTTGTTATTACAGCTGGCGCCACTTCTGCTAATGAGTTATTAACTTTCATCTTAGCTAATCCTGGCGATGCTTTGCTTGTTCCAACTCCTTACTATCCAGGGTATAACTATTATACATATATAGTAACCATGTGACAAATAATTTCTATTACGTGATAAAAAAGGGAAAGAGTAGTTTGAAATATCTCCACCAGTACCATTAGACTCTAAGCACCAGTGTCCAAATAGTGAAAGCCACAATTAATTAGTCACACTTTATTTGATGTATTGTGCTAAATAGCTTATTGTCTTATTTTACAGATTTGACAGAGACTTGAGGTGGAGGACGGGTGTGCAAATCGTTCCAATCCATTGCGACAGTTCAAATAATTTCCAAGTTACTCCACAAGCCTTAGAAGAAGCCTACGAGGAAGCAGAATCCAAGAACATAAAAGTGAGAGGAGTTCTTATAACAAACCCCTCTAACCCATTAGGTGCCACCATCCAAAGGTGTGTGCTTGAGGGCATTCTTGAATTCGTCACAAGAAAAAACATCCACCTTGTGTCCGATGAAATCTACTCGGGTTCCGCCTTTTGTTGCTCCGAATTTGTCAGCATTAGTGAAGTAATTGAATCAAGGAATTACATGGATTCAGAGAGGGTACACATTGTGTACAGCCTCTCCAAGGACCTGGGACTACCCGGGTTTCGAGTTGGGACAATCTACTCTTACAATGACAAAGTTGTGACAACTGCAAGGAGAATGTCGAGTTTCACATTGATTTCTTCTCAGACACAACAATTCCTAGCTTCCATGTTGTCTGACGAGAAATTCACTGAGGATTACATAAAGACGAATCGCAAAAGGCTGAGGAGGAGATATGAAATGATCATTCTTGGATTGAGGAGTGCTGGGATTGAGTGCTTAAAAGGGAATGCAGGATTGTTTTGCTGGATGGATTTGAGTCCTTTGTTGGAAAAGCCTACAAAGGAATATGAATTGGCCCTTTGGAACAGAATATTGCATCAAGTGAAACTGAATATTTCTCCAGGCTCCTCTTGCCATTGCTCAGAGCCTGGTTGGTTCAGGGTTTGTTTTGCCAACATGAGTGAAAATACGCTAGAAATTGCACTCAGAAGAATACATGATTTCATGGAAAGAAAGAGAACAGAAAAGACTTACTGATCTTGATCATTTCCCAATTTTCTTTTTTATAGTTTTTTTTCCTCTTCTTTTTTTGGTTTGGGGAATTTTTTTTCCCAGATGCGATTGCTTCTGGAGTATTCTTGAATTATACCCATTCCAAGAATTGGATTTTTCCCGCAGGCACTGTACCTCGGATTGAATTTGAAATTTAATATGGCATAATATTTCTTTTTAGCATTGGCAGTCTATCTCCAGAAAGTATGATCAGTTTAATTTTATCGTTGTAGAATAAATGCCGCGAGCATATCTTATGTGATGTTTACCGAAAAAATCGGATAACGTTAGATTTGTGGATGGTTCTAAGGATATGCGATACAATTTGATATAAATCGCGTAGAGAAATGGAAATATGTGTATTGTTGACTGTAAGAACGAAAATAATAAGCAAAAAGAATGAATAAGTAAAACAAGCACAAGGGGATTACTATCAATATAAGAAGTGATCTTTTTATGTTTCGCCCCTCTAGCTTACAAGGATTCCCCCTTTTATAAAAGTGGGTCATTACCAAAAACAATAAAATAAAATATGTAGTGGAAGACCCATGATGACTTGTCTCTTCCTTGATTCCCGCCAAGATTCTCTTTTTTGGTGTGGTTGCAACGGCTCTTGTCTGTGAGCTCGATACTAGCTCGAACTCGTTACTAGATCGGGTCCTTCGGTCTTGGATCAAGTTCGACCTTCGAGATGGGCGTCGCGCATTTCCGACCTCGAAGCAGTGCCTTGCAGATCGATTCGGTCACGGGCTCGATAGGATTATCGAGCCGCCTCCTCGAGCGACCTTCGGACTCGAGGTTCGTTAGTACCGACCTCAGAGCTCACTCCCAAAATCTCATTCCGATTTCTTAACACTCGAACTCGATCGAACGTAGGAAGGCCGAAATCTATTTCGACCGTATACACATAGTTCCCTCGTTTCTCGGAAAAGGATATGGCGAGAAACGATATGATTTCCCAGCAGCTCGATCAGATATACACTGATGTTTTTATCGATTCCGACCATGACGTATGTAATGCTCGATCATCTTACGCGTCTTTATAGTCCCCGACTTTATCGAGGATACCCGAATTTTTTCTTCCCCGGTGGGAATTGGCAGTTACCTTCGGTCTTTGGTGACCGGAGAAAATCAATCAGTGATGAATGCGGAGGGGCTTCCTGTCTTTTCAACAAGGCCCAACATGCTTTGAATCGGATAACTTTTGATGGCGTTTTCGCCGCTTCTGTACAAAAATTTTGTAAATACAAATCTTTCTTCTTCTTTTTTTTTTTGAAGAGAAATGGCCTTTCAAACTAAATAGACAGTTTGAATTTAAATCTCTGTTGCCTTCGGGCCTCGTGGGTAGTCCCCTTTGCTTTATCGGGCTCGAGCGTCCTTCAGCTTAAATAGTCAAGTGTTTGTTTTAATTCGAAGAAATGAGTAGTTTTGCTCGAAATAATGTAGCCCGTAGCCGTAATAGTCGAGCGAGTGATGGCTCGAACTCAAAATAAAGGTAGCCCGTAGGTTTAGCAGTCGAGTGAATGATTCGAACTTGATGCAATGTAGCCCGCAGGCGTAATAGTCAAAGTAGCCCGTAGGCTTAATGGTCGAGTGAGTGATTGCTCGAACTCGAAATAAAGATAACCCATAGGCTTGGCAGTCGAGCGAATGATTCGAACGCGATGCAATGTAGCCCGTAGACGTAATAGTCAAAGTAGCCCGTAGGCTTAATGATCGAGTGAGTGACTGCTCGAACTCGAAATAAGGGTAGCCCGTAGGCTTGGCAATCGAGTGAATGATTCGAACTCGATGTAATGTAGCCCGTAGGCGTAATAGTTAAAGTAGCCCATAGGCTTAATGGTCGAGTAAGTGATTGCTCGAGATCGAAATAAAGGTGGCCCGTAGGCTTGGCAATCGAGCGAATGATTCGAACTCGATGCAATGTAGCCCGTAGGCATAATAGTTAAAGTAGCCCGTAGGCTTAATAGTCGAGTGAGTGATTGCTCGCACTCGAAATAAAGGTAGCCCGTAGGCTTGGCAATCGAGCGAATAATTTGGCATCATTGCAATGTAGCCCGTAGGCGTAATAGTCAAAGTAGCCCGTAGGCCTAATGGTCGAGTGAGTGATTGCTCGAACTCGAAATAAAGGTAGCCCGTAGGCTTGGCAATCGAGCGAATGATTCGGACTCGATCCTGTTTGCATAATAAATCTTGAACATAGAATATCGGTAAAGAAGAGAGCTTTCTTTGCAGGTCATTACACATGGGTTCATGTTTTGCGTCAGGGCTCGGGCCAACTATATAAGCATGGTTCGTTTTGACCGTTTGGCCCTTACAACGTTTCCCGTTGAGACACTGTTTGTCATGAAATAACGAAGTAACTTCCTTTGCACCGAACTTGATAATCATCACAGATGCGTTCAATGATAAAGCCCCCCTGTGTACGAGGTTGATTTTAAAGAGGCCTCGGATACTCAGCAGTAGTATCGTTTCCGCTATATGGCTGGTATCGATCTCTGGTCGACTTTTGCTTTTTCGTAATGGTCCTAGAAGTCAACTGGTCATCTTCGACTCTTATTTTGGATTGATATCGATTGTGCACATCGGTCCAAGTAATAGCTGGGTACTCGATCAGATTTTGCTTCAACCGCCGCGAAGCCCTCGAGCTCCGCTCATTTAGACCTTGAGTGAAAGCTTGAACAACCCAATCGTCTGTGACTGGTGGCAGATCCATTCGTTCCATTTGAAAACGAGCTACGAACTCCCTTAGCATCTCGTTATCCTTTTGCATTACCTTGAACAGGTCCGACTTTCTGGTTTCGACCTTTATGGCTCCGGCATGAGCTTTTACGAAGCAATCTGCAAGCATAGCAAAAGAATCAATGGAGTTAGATGGTAAATTATGATACCATATCATTGCCCCTTTTGACAGGGTTTCACCGAATATTTTTAATAATACAGATTCGATCTCATCATCTTCCAAATCATTGCCCTTGATGGCATACGTGTAAAAAGTGATGTACTCGTTGGGGTCGGTCATTCCGTTATATTTGGGTATTTCGGGCATACGGAATTTTTTGGGGATTGGTTTTGGGGCTGCACTCGAGGGAAAAGGCTTTTGAATGAATTTTTTTGAATCTAGCTCTTTTATCATTGGTGGAGCCCCCGGGATCAGGTCGACCCTGGAATTATATGTTTCTACTTTTTTATTGTTGGCTTCGACTCGTTTTGTGAGTTTCTCGAGCAATTTAGTAATTTCGGGAGTAGTCCCCGATTCTTGCTCATTTGGCTTCTTTATGGATGGTTCCGTTCCGTGGGTGACTTCTCGAAGCGGATTGGGCTCCGACCTGCTTTGTACCTGAGTTTGGCTCGGCAACTGAGCTATCACTATTTGCTGGGCTTGTAATATCTCGAATATCATGCGTAAGCTGACTCCGATCTCCTCCACGTTATGGGTGTCTCGAGCTACGGATCGAGTACCACCCTGAATGCTCCTTTCCGGTTCGGAACGTTGATTCGCCTCTAGAGCTATTTGTGAATTGACATCAAATGATACTTCGGCTTGAATTTCGGGTGCTTCGATTCGAGCCTCAGCGCCTTCCTCGAGTGGCCTTCCGCCCCAGGTGCCAAGTTGTTGGTTTCATCTTGAAGGCCGGCTTCGTGGTCGATAGGTGAAGCCATTGCTGATTTCTAGTTGCAAACTGGCATGTACTTTAGGTTTATATCAAACGAGCACTGTTACCCTTAGCCCCACGGTGGGCGCCAAACTGTTTGCCGAAAAAATCGGATAACGTTAGATTTGTGGATTGTTCTAAGGATATGCGATACAATTTGATATAAATCGCGGAGAGAAATGGAAATATGTGTATTGTTGACTGTGAGAACGAAAATAATAAGCAAAAAGAATGAATAAGTAAAACAAGCACAAGGGGGTTACTATCAATATAAGAAGTGATCTTTTTATGTTTCGCCCCTCTAGCTTACAAGGATTCCCCTTTTATAAAAGTGGGTCATTACCAAAAACAATAAAATAAAATATGTAGTGGAAGACCCATGATGACTTGTCTCTTCCTTGATTCCCGCCAAGATTCTCTTTTTTGGTGTGGTTGCAACGGCTCTTGTCTGTGAGCTCGATACTAGCTCGAACTCGTTACTAGATCGGGCCCTTCGGTCTTGGATCAAGTTCGACCTTCGAGATGGGCGTCGCGCATTTCCGACCTCAAAGCAGTGCCTTGCAGATCGATTCGGTCACGGGCTCGATAGGATTATCGATCCGCCTCCTCGAGCGACCTTCGGACTCGAGGTTCGTTAGTACCGACCTCAGAGCTCACTCCCAAAATCTCATTCCGATTTCTTAACACTCGAACTCGATCGAACGTAGGAAGGCCGAAATCTATTTCGACCGTATACACATAATCCCCTCGTTTCTCGGAAAAGGATATGGCGAGAAACGATATGATTTTCCAGTAGCTCGATCAGATATACACTGATGTTTTTATCGATCCCGACCATGACGTATGTAATGCTCGATCATCTTACACGTCTTTATAGTCCCCGACTTTATCGAGGATACCCGAATTTTTTCTTCCCAGGTGGGAATTGGCAGTTACCTTCGGTCTTTGGTGACCGGAGAAGATCAATCAGTGATGAATGCGGAGGGGCTTCCTGTCTTTTCAATGAGGCCCAACATGCTTTGAATCGGATAACTTCTGATGGCGTATTCGCCGCTTCTTTACAAAAATTTTGTAAATACAAATCTTTCTTCTTCTTTTTTTTTTGAAGAGAAATGGCCTTTCAAACTAAATAGACAGTTTGAATTTAAATCTCTGTTGCCTTCAGGCCTCATGGGTAGTCCCCTTTGCTTTATCGGGCTCGAGCGTCCTTCAGCTTAAATAGTCAAGTGTTTGTTTTAATTCGAAAAAATGAGTAGTTTTGCTCGAAATAATGTAGCCCGTAGGCGTAATAGTCGAGCGAGTGATGGCTCGAACTCAAAATAAAGGTAGCCCGTAGGCTTAGCAGTCGAGTGAATGATTCAAACTTGATGCAATATAGCCCGCAGGCGTAATATTCAAAGTAGCCTGTAGGCTTAATGGTCGAGTGAGTGATTGCTCGAACTCGAAATAAAGGTAGC